AATATTTGAAGCGTTTACTAGGATGATAGGGTTAAACAACCACGTGGCAAACAGCACTGCATGACACACAACCTGAAGACTTGTTCTGACAGGCACGACTCTGGAATTGGCTACAAATCAGGACAAACATAAAGGGCACGTGTCGGCTGTAATCCACAAGCGTTCTACGTTACAACCACCAGATACCGGCCACGTCAAGGAGGCAGCACTGGAAACCCTAAAGAAAATGGGATACCAAGTTTTGACCAAGGGCAGGTGGCAAGGGATAATTCGGTGACGTGTGACAGGTGACAGAGTCCTGTCAGGGCACAATTAAATTTTTGGTTTAAAATAAAATTCCTTTGGTGATTTGTTCAATGTTTATTGATTTGAATACGATTTTAATTAAGATGTGGGGTTTGTAAATTGATCGTATGGATGGGAGAACCAAAGTTGGACACGTTTCGACAGTGACATGATCAAACCATTTTCATGGCTCTGCGAATCGGACAAGGATTGTTTACCCTTCCACTTATGGTGTCCTTCCGTATCTTCATGTTTTGTGTAGTCAGGTTAAGTCACGTTAATATTTTATATTATTATTTTATATAGATAATAAGAAAAAAAATGAATAGTAATATAAAATGTTGATGTGGCTTAACCATGATCATACAAATAAGAGGGCACGAGAAAACACTAGAAATGGAAGGGCAGACAATCCTTGTCCCCGGGAATTGGAAATGGAAGTGGCTTGCTTAAGACTAAGCCCTACCCTTGAGGAGTTTTTAATCGTAAGTATGAAACTTATTGATAAACATGACGACATTTTTTTAATAAGATAGTTTTACGTATTACATTGTTATACTATCAAATAATGTGAAAGTGTATTTCAATGTGCAACCTTATTGATAATTTTATGTTATACTAAACTCAAGGCTTTCATGTTCTCTATAGAGATTCTAATTGTACATGTCGGAGTATCTACTATTTGATTAGCACTAAATTAAGGAGTAGATGTAACATGTTATACAATTTGTCTCTAGTGACGTATGTAATAGAATCACTAGAGAAATATGTTCGACAAAATTTGATTAGTACTCAATAGTATATGCGGTTTGGTGGTATTCCTCTTCACTTGTAAGTGAGAGGTTTTAGGTTCTAATCTTGTAGATGGTGAATTCAATACCAAATTAGGTTACTTATTGTGTGGTTTAGCCGAACTCTCCCTTCCCCTTAATATAAAATATATCGTTATATAAAAAAAACATTCAAAATGTGATGAGTAAAGCAATGAGCGAAGTACAACAAAGAACAAAATAAAGGGTAATGTGAATAGTACCATGATTAACTTTTTAGTGTAAAAATGTAATTTTTCGTTAAAGTGAACAATACCAGAAGTTTTTCGTTAAAATTCCCTTTAAATTAAGCTACGACAATTCAAAGGGTAGGGCTAGAAGACACCAAAACTAAACATATAAGAACCTATATATATATATATATATAGATTAGCATCATAGATTCATATATAGGTCTCACAAAATCAACAAAGTCGGAAGGTTCAGTGTTGGAACGTGATTCACGTTGCCGACATCTATATCACTGGTTAGGAGAAGACTTGGCGAGACTTTCAAATTATGAAAATGACAAAGGCATTTTAAAATCATATCATAAACAATATTAAATCACTAAAATATGTGCCTGCATTAGTGCAATTAACAAAGACAGCTTCGGCTATAAAGCTAGCCAGAGCCTAAGTTCATGAAGGGAAAAGTAATATTTACTATATAGTGTGGTCTTTGAATAATTTACGAGAGATTTTTCGATATACTTGAAATACCGTCTCATGATCTTAAGCTTTATCAAAATTATCGTATGGTCTGTGCGTAAATTAAGATAGGTTTTTTAATGTACTCGAAATACCATCACATAATGTTAAAATTTTACTAAAACTATAACATGTGTATTTGTTATTATTATTTGCCTAGCCTGAAAATAATAATATATCAATTATGTCGCTCATTAATATTATATCACATATCAAATGGTTGTTCCGGATACAAACCACAATTTTATATTCTTTTGGAAAAGAAAAAGTAAAATGGTGTTGATTAATGTAAAGAGAAAAGGCACTATACGTATCAGAGCCCATAGATTTTGGATATAAAGAAGCGATCACAAGTCACAAAACCGAGTCAGACCAAAAAACCATGACATCAAACACACATTGCTTAAAGCCTTAAAAACCAACAAATTCCATATCATGCACATATCAGAAAAAGCACACACTCGCACACTCCCAAAACATTCCTTCCACAACCACCCACAAAACCCTGTTAAGATTTTCAAATCGATCTGCCAAGATGCTCGATAAAATCGAATATTCGAGTCCCTCGGCAGAAGATCATGAGACTTTCAGCTGCATGAGCACACTGGGAGCTGCCACTACAAGGAGGAAGAACAACAAGAACAACAAGAGGTTCAGTGATGAGCAGATTAGGTCATTGGAGTCCATCTTTAAGTCTGAGTCGAGGCTTGAGCCGAGGAAGAAGATGCAGTTGGCCAAAGAGCTAGGGTTGCAACCGAGGCAGGTTGCTATTTGGTTTCAGAACAAGAGAGCTAGATGGAAGTCCAAGCAGCTCGAGAGAGACTACAGCAAATTGAGAGCCAATTACAACAACTTGGCATCAAAGTTTGAAGCTTTGAAGAAAGAAAAGCAGGCCCTGGTTGTTCAGGTAATTGCTCATTCATTCCGGTTTGCTAAATATGCCTAATCGAAGAACGGTGCTTGGTTCATTACCTGTAAGAAGCCATTCTTTGTTAACCGTAAGTTTAGTTTGACGCGTGTAAAAGTAACTCATTAAAACCATAAAAAGGGAAAAAGTTTAGGCACATGTGTCATGTGTAAGAAGTAATTACTCGTTACATGTAAGGAACGAAACATTTTTCACTAATTTTAACATGTTAAGATAATCAATAACTGATAGATTATGTCTTATTTTGTGACAGGTGCAGAAGCTGAATAATCTGATGATGAAGCGAAGGGAGAATTGTGGGGAGGATGTAGTTATGAGCAATGGCATTGACGGTGAGTCAGATAACGGAGATGCCCCCATTTCTGAATCTGACAAGGTGAAGCTTGATTTTTCAGTGGAAAAATCAGAGCAAGGAGGACTTGGGGTGCTGTCAGATGACGACAGCCGCATAAAAGTAGAGTACTTTGGACTGGAAGATGAACCAAACCTTGCGAACTTAGTGGAGTCTGCAGACGGTTCCTTGACATCAACTGAGGATTGGGGGAAATTGAATTCTTATGGTCTTTTTGATGTTACTAGTGGTGATTATCAGTGGTGGGACTTCTGGTCTTGAAAACAGAAATTGTGTGCATATATAATGAAGTGCTTCATCTACTGGAGTGATCAAGAAAAAGGGGCTTTTTTCATCAGAATGTCATTAGCTTTTGGAGACTGGTTGTTCATAATCATGCCATTTGCACTGCATCCTCCTACACTCAATCACTCTGATGCTCTGTTTAGTTACGACGTCACAATTAAAGATCCATATGAATGAATGAGAACTAAGGCCAACATATATATGGGGATCTTATTGGGAAAATGAATTTGAAGGAGCATTGTGTCTTTGTGATATGTGGGTCTGTGTCTAATCTTGGAAAAGTAACATTTATAAAGCCCAAAGACAAAAACATGTATGCATGCGCTCAGCTAGAATTTTGTAGGAGTTGGTTTGTTGCTCTAAAACTAAACCTTGAACCCTGGTGCAGCCTCTAACATATGTGAGTTTGTTTTTTTTTTTTGGTGTCAGTGCCCTTTTACACACACGCACTCAGTTGTCGCACATGACGGTCTTCTTCCTAGTAGATAATATTGAACTTGCTATATTATAACTACGCCCTCAGTCAATTGTAAAGAAGATAAATATTACACAGGCAAGAGCACCATCCACGCAAGAACACAAGAATTTACAGTTGTTCAATCAATTTTGTTTACATCCACTCTAGTGATCCCCTTCAAGAAAATTCAATAGCTAGCTAAAAGACTAGACAGCTTCGGTTACTAAAGAACCCCTTATTCCCTATCAAACCGTAGGTCTTAATCTCCACGCACTCTAGGACTCAAGCCTTATTATGCCTCCCTTGTAACTTGTACACGAATTAGAATAACTCGACAAGCTCTCTCAATCTATTTGATATTCTAGGTTCATCTCCATCTCTCAAAATCCGTGGTAAAGTTCTACTTACTGTAGGCAAGCTTTAGGTAACGAATCCAGATCCTCTTTGTGAGAATCCCAATGATCCGTGAATCGTGTTCATTCATCATACATAGCGCGGTTATAAATTATTTTAATTTTTTTTTTTCAAATTGAATACAAACAATACCTAACGAAAACTGACCGCACGATGTACGAACACGATTCACAAATCTCTAGGATCCTCAAAGAGGATCCTGTTGGTTAGGTTACAATATGAATCCCAAAACAAGGAGATAACCCAAAGAAACCATACTTTTGGGTGTTTTAACTTAATTTTTGTTTGAGTGGAAAAGAAAATTGCCAATCACAACAATTTCTACCTAAGCAACCTAGCTAGCATCCAAGCCAATTGTTACTCTGCAAGATATTTGATATTCTTGAAAGAACCTCACAAAGGTTTGAAGAACCGCTAACTTGGCACAAGACAACCAACTCAAGTGAGGACGTGCTTCACTAGTCAAACCTATACAATTTATCCAAACTCCAATTTGGTCCGACTCTTATACAAACCAAGCTCAAAATAACTTTTTTTTCAAAAATGTTCGATTCAAAGTTTAAACGAAATTGTAAATAATTAAATAGTAGTAGGATATGCCTATTTCTGAGAGATTTTTCATCAATATTAAGAATAAAATCAATGGAAATAAAAATATTCTTGGATAAATCAAAATAGTGTCTTTTTTTTTTTTTTTTTTTTAATTTTACAAAAATAATGACATATAGTCCAATAGCATGTCGAACCTCAAACTCACATTCATGAGGTGAACTTGAACCAAACTCGAGCCATCTCATAAAAAAAATACAAGTTACTCACGAGCTTTTAAGAGCAGAGCATGCCAAACCTCAGACTCAGGCCATTAATAGTCAAAACACCGCACATCAAACACTGTTCCGTGTTCATTACATACATTCACAAGATACGCGGCCCTTTTGTTTCAAGGCGGTCCACACAAACGACTGCCCGAGTCACAAAACCCAGTCGTATGACTGCCCAGTGTCGAAATGGGATTGCGTTTAGGCACTTTACCCGACACTCTCCTCCTCCCTTCTCACTGGTTCAGTAAAGGTGGGAGCTTTATCGAAAGAGCGACGCCATAACCACCGATTCAAAAGCTCGGAGAAGTAATGAACGACCTCTCCAATGGAGCTCTGGGCGACCAAAGGTGCCGTCTTTTGGTTCCTCGACTCGGTTCCGGAGTCTGACCTTCGCCTCGCCCAGCACGGGCAGCTCATCAAGATTACTGGGGTACTCGTTCTCTCGCCCTTTCAGCTCGTTTTCTGTTCTGGGTTTCTTGTAAATTTAATTGGGGTTCTGCATTTACTTTAAAAAATAAAAAAAAATTGTTTTGGGTTTTTTTTTTTTTTTTTTCTTGGAATGATTTGGTTTTGGGGATATGAAGGTTGGGAATGTGTAGTTGGAGTGTAATGCAGATTTATGCGATTGGTTGCTGAGAAATTGGAGGAAAACGAAAAGGGAAATTAGGGTACTTGGTTGGTGTTATCTCTGTTTGAATGTTGCATTATATGGTGGGCATATATCCCTGTATTTGGTTTCTGAATTTTAAACAAGAATAATTTGAAGTTCTGGAGAATTATTGTTCTTAGAAATCGAGCGAAGCGCAGCTGAATTATTGGAGAATAACTTTAAGTGCTGGAAAATCAGAAAACTTGTTTGATATCATTGAACTAAATTAAGACTTTGGGGTTCACCAAAAAAATAAAAGACTTTGCGAGCTTGGCTGGTTCAATCTTTTGTTGCAATTGTGGGTTTATGCAGCACTTTCACTTTCTAGTTAGAACTCATTAGAAATAGCATCGTCTTGAAAGACTTTAGGCAGCTGTTTTTCTAACCATTTTTGACGTGAGGTTCTGTCTAACAAATGGATTGTGCACGTGATATGTGCTCGTCTTTAAACTTGTAAACATATACATTACGGTTAACCTTACCCTTTTTTCTTGGTTATTTCCACCAGTTTCTCATCTGTCACTCAGCATGTGGTCTATTCAACATATGGGAGGACGAACAATAGCATGTTGTTCCAATGATTCCAGATTGCATCATGTGTAAGTCTCTCCCTTGAATCTTCATATAAAAAAGCTACCGGCTGTATCTATGCCTCTACTCTTTTATATGAGTACAGGGGGTTATCTCCACAGCCAGGGAATGTCAAGAGATCATGCTTCCATTGGCATTTAGCATTTTGTGAGGTATGAATACTCTTCTGTAGCCATGTGGATCAGCAGACTGTTGCATGTCCAAGTTAGATCAAATAGGTTGATTGCGTTCATGAGATGGATAAATCATTTATACTTGTTTCCCTGTTCCTTGTTCTTTGCGTCAATTTATGCGTTTAGTTAACTTTATCAGGATTGGACTGCTTAATTGGCACTTGGTACTCAAAATGATTACTTGTTGTAAATAATGGGTATATTTGCCCACATGTGTATAGTTAAGTACCACATGTGTATAGTAATGTGTATATTAAAGTTTCACATGTGAATAGTAAGTTTTGTAAGTTTCTATTGAAGTGGCTCTATAAATAGAGCACTTAGATTGTTCAAATGAAGAGAACATTAAGGAGAGAATAGGAAGAGAAAACATCTAATAGCAATAATATACATTACTTCCTCTGCAACATTTTGTGTTGGTATAATACTCTGCAACTGCTTCATTCATGTCCCGAGTAAAGGTTATCTCTCTAAATTTTGCCTATTTATAACACGTTATGAGCACGACTCTCTAATCATTTCTCTTTTCCCTTCACCGAAAGAAAAAAAAAATTGTTTCCTCTAAGGTTTTTACTGTTCTTCTTCTTCCTCTGCCTCAATTGCTGGTTATACCCTCGCAAAGAGCTGTTTGCACCTTGTTTAGTTCTAGTTCTCAACCTAACAGTTACTTATATCTTTGATTTTTTGTTTGGTGTAAATCTTGACTATTAACCTAGTGTTTATTTATGCAATCCAAGATGGTGCGGTATCATCGCCTATCTTGGACTGCAGATCTAATTTTACTGCAAATTTTAAGTGGAGTGGTATAATCGTCCGTCCTATCCTGCATATTTAAATTTACCTGTTATTTAATTTTATCGCAATTTTAGGTGGCGTGAAATAATCACCCACCCTGCTTTACATATTTAATTTTATCGCAATTTTAGGTGATGTGAAATAATCACCCACCCTGCTTTACATATTTAATTCTATCGCAATAATCACCCACCCTACTTTACATATTTAATTTTATCGCAATTTTAGGTGGTGCGGTATAAGCGTCCACCCTGCTTTGTATATTTAAATTTTATCGCAATTTTAGGTGGTGCGGTATAATCGTCCACCTTGCTCTATATATTTAAATTTTCCTGCTGTTTAAAGTAGTGCGGAATAATCGCACATCCAATACTTGTTTCGATGAGAATGGTGCGGTACAATTGCCCTTCTCATTAATTATGTAAATCTCGTGCTTGAAGTTTCAAGTACTTAACATTTTGGCCTGAAGATAAAAAATTTGGAAGAACCAGAAGTTCTAACAATATATTCCTCCAGAACACATATTATTGCAAGTTCTTACACACCTCATTTTTCTTTCAGAAAAGAAAATGGCAAACTTGGCAAAGCTTGATTTCGCTACCGTGGACATTACTGGAAAGAATTACCTTACCTGGGTACTAGATACCAAGATCCATCTACAAGCAGCGAATCTTGAAGATACCATCAAGGAAGAGAGCAGCTCATCCTCTCAAAATTGGGCAAAGGCCATGATTTTTATTCGTCGCTATCTTGATGAGGCACTAAAGAGCGAGTACTTAACGGTTGAAGATCCGTTAGCCCTCTAGAATGCCTTAAGAAGCAGATATAATCACCAGACAACGATGATTCTTCCAATAGCTCGTTATGACTGGACTCACCTAAAGATCCAAGATTTCAAGTCAGTGGTTGAGTACAATGCGGCATTGTTTAGAATTACCTCTCAGATGAAGCTCTGTGGGGATACTATTACTGAGGAGATGTTATTGTAAAAGACTTTCAGCACATTCCACGCCTCTAACATGGTCCTGCAACAGTAGTATAGAGCGCGAGGCTTCACTGAATACAACCAGCTGATATTTGTGTTCCTGGTAGCTGAACAGAACAATGAGCTCCTGATGAAAAACCATAATTCCCGACCTACTGGATCAGCACCGTTCCCAGAAGTGAATGTTGTTTCCCTTGAAAGAAATACCATATCATCCCGTGGCAATAATTACAAACGAGGACGCAGCCACAAGCAAGGTCGGTGGAAAGGGAAATGCAAGAACCATGGTGTCCAGTTTCACAACCAAGTTCCAAGGCATAATCTAGGCCCAAACTTTAAAAAATGCAAATCACCAGAAAGGAAAAGCTCAGATGAACACTCCTAGAAATCTTGATAGGAGTTTGCCATAGGTGTGGTGGCAACGGACATTTGGCGAGTACTTGTCGCACCCTGAAGCATCTGGTGGAGCTGTATCAAGCCTCATTCAAGGAGAAGGGTGTCAAGATCAATTTCTTTGACCAGGCTCAATCAATGGAAACCCCTGATCCAGTGACCAATTTATCAGGACAGTTAAACACAACCCACCTGTTGGATAGTTAAACACAACTCACCTGGATGCTACAAACTTTATTAATGAAAGATGGAATGAAGTTTATGGGTCCGATTGAATTATTTATGTTTAATGTACTCCTGTTATTTGTACTTGTGGTTTAATGCTCGCATTTTCAATTCAATAAAAGTAGTATTCCAGTATGAATAAACTGCTTTTTCTTTACTCAGAGAACATGGATAAAAATTATGGTTATTCTCAAAACAAGAGCAATGACGGAGAATTTTGTCTTGCAGACAGCGCAACCACCCATTCAATACTTCGAGATCGAAAGTATTTCTCGAATTTGGTACTTTTAAAAGTAAAAGTAACAACAATATCAAGGCAATTAGATGTAATTGAAGGCTCAGGAAAAGCCCGGATTATGTTACCAAATGGAACAATATTATGCATAAAGAATGCATTATATGCTACTCGATCCATTCGAAATTTGTTGAGTTTTAAAGACATACGTCTAAATGGACACCACATTGAAACGAAAAGTGTAGAAAATGTGGAATATTTATGCATTACTTCCAATGATACCCAGAAGCGTATTTTGGAGAAGTTGCATGGTTTATCGAGTGGATTGTATTATACATACATAAAGACAGTTGAGGCATATACTGTCATGAACCAGAAGTTCATTGATTCAAAGGTTTACATGCTTTGGCATGACCTTCTAGGTCATCCAGGATCTACCATGATGCGTAGAATCAATACCAACTCTAATGGACATCCATTATTGAACAGACACATTGATGTCTCAAATGATAACCCTTACAAGGCTTGTTCCCAAATGAAGTTGGTAATTAAACCATCACAACTAAAGGTTGATAGTGAATCCCCATCATTTTTGCAAAGAATTCAAGGGGATATTTGTGGACCTATTCAACCACCTTGTGGACCTATTCAACCACCTTATGGACCATTTTGATATTTTATGGTTTTGGTTGATGCATCTACCCGATAGTCACATGTTTGCCTATTGTCTACTCGAAATGTAGCTTTTGCGAGACTTCTTGCTCAGATAATTAAGTTGCGAGCACAGTTCTCAGATCATCTCATTAAGTCCATTCGACTTGATAACGCTGGTGAATTTACGTCTCAAACCTTTAATGATTACTGTGTGGCACTAGGCATTGATGTTTAACACCTTGTTCCTCATGTCCATACTCAAAATGGTTTAGAAGAGGCATTTATCAAGCGGCTTCAATTAATAGCCCGTACTCTGCTCATGAAAATGAAATTGCCAATCTCTGCATGGGGACATGCCATATTACATGTTGCATCATTGGTTAGATTGAGACTCATTGCCAACCACCAATATTCATCAATACAACTCGTGTTTGGATAACAGCCAAACATTTCCCATTTACGAGTTTTTGGTGTGCTGTTTATGTGCCTATTGCACCGCCACAACGAACTAAAATGGAACCTCAGCGTAGACTGGGAATTTATGTGGGTTTTGATTCACCATCTATCATTAGATATTTGGAACATTTGACTGGTGATATGTTTACAGCTCGTTTTGCTGATTGTCATTTTGATGAGACAATTTTCCTATCGTTAGGGGAAGAAAATACCGTTCCAGAAGAACGGCAAGAACTGACATGGGTTGTTCCCACCTTATCTCATTTTGATCCACGAAGCACTCAATGTGAAAATGAAGTGAAAATGATCGTTCATCTTCAAGGTATCGCTAATCAAATGCCAAATGCTTTTAATGATGCTTCGAAAGTGACAAAGTCACATATACCAGCTGCAAATGCACCTGCAAGAATTGATGTCCCTGTTGGACAAAATAAAGTGGCAGCGAATGATTCATCCAGTGCACGCCTAAAGCATGGTAGACCCCCAGGTTCAAAAGATTCAGCCCCTCGAAGGAGAAAGATGAGGGCACAGTTGAACCCAAATGATATCATTCAAAAAAAGAAATTGAATGATAAATCTATAATTCATGATTCTGTACTTCCAGAAAAAGAAAATGTCCTTGATGTGACATCTGTCTTTAAAGAGACAGAAGTACATGAAAGTAAAGAAATATCCATAAATTATGCATGTACTAATGAATTGTGGGATCGAAATGAAATAATCATCGACGACATATTTACATTTGCAATAGCTACTGAAATTATCTTAAGTGATGATATTGAGCCCCGCTCTGTTGATAAATGCAGACAGAGACAAGATTGGCCTAAGTGGAAAGATGCAATCCAGGCAGAATTAAATTCCTTGGAAAGACGAAGTGTTTTTGGACCAATAGTCCAAACCCCGCCTTGTGTGAACCCCGTAAGTTACAAATGGGTATTTACAAGGAAACGCAACGAGAAAAATGAGATTGCAAGATATAAAGCACGACTCGTTGCACAAAGTTTTTCACAAAGACCTGGAATTGAATATGAAGAGACATACTCTCCTGTAATGGATGCAATTACGTTCCGTTACTTAATAAGTTTGGTGATTTCAGAAAAACTTGACATGCGACTTATGGATGTCATCACCGCGTATCTATATGGAGAATTAGATACTGACATATATGTGAAAGTCCCAAAAGGATTTAAGTTGCCTGAAGCAATTAACAAACCACGAGGTATGTTCTCAATCAAATTAAGGCGATCACTATATGGGTTGAAACAATCTGGGCGAATGTGATATAATCGTCTCAGTGAGTATTTGATTTAAGAAGGATATGCCAACAATGTCATCTCCCTTGTGTGTTCATTAAGAAATCAAATAATGGATTTGTTATAGTGACAGTATACGTCGATGATATGAACCTATTTGGAACCCCTGAAGAGCTCAATAAAACTGCTGAATATCTGAAAAATGAATTTGAAATGAAAGACCTTGGGAAAACAAAATATTGTCTCGGCCTGCAGATTGAGCATTGTGTTAATGGAATTTTGGTCTATCAATCAACTTACATTGAAAAGATACTGAAGCGATTTGGCATGGACAAGGCTTATCCACTTAGCACCTTAATGGTCGTTTGTTCTTTGGACATTAAGAAAGATCCATTCCATCCAAAAGAAGATGATGAACTGGTCATTGGTCCAGAAGTACCATATTTGAGCGTGTTGATGCACAAAATCGGAGGTCTTGGAACAACGTAAATCCGGCCGTGAATCTGCAAGTAATGTAAATAACACAAGATGTATCGTGGTTCACCCTAAGGCTACATCCACACTAATTATGTATTTATCTGAGGGAGAGAGAGCTCTAAGAGTGAGAGCTTTGAGAGGGGGTGAGAGGGCTTAAGAATTGGCCTCTAAGGGTGAGAATGAGGCTCTCCCTAATTGTGAGGGTGAGGGGTCTTTTTATAGAATAATGACTCATCACTTATTACATATTTACCCATTCCTTTATTACATAATTACATTTCAGTCCCCCGAGTATTTATACGAGATCTAAATACGAAGGCACTAAGTATGATATAAACAGTAGTCCCCCAAGTCTTCAGTCAAGATAGTCTTTTGGCTGTAGACTTTGAAATTCAGTCCATGTGTAGGTCGAAGTAACTAGATGTTGTCTTGAACTTGATGCTCGATATGAGGCGGTGCTCAATCTGAAATGATGCTCAACTAGAAGTAGCACATGTTGCTAGGCTGTTCGGCTCGTGGCTTATGTTGCCTTGGTTGGCTCGGCTTGTGGCGTTGAAAGTGAAGAAGTCCCTTTTATAGAATAAGGGCTCACTCCTCAATACATAAATGACGGGCTAGAGTTAATGCTCGCGGCGAGGCGGTTGGTCAGTAAACGGCGCTGCTCTTTAATGATAGTGAGGGAGTCCCTTTTATAAAATAAGGGCTCGCTCCTCAATACATAAGTGATGGGTTAGGAGTGATGCTCGCGGTGAGGCGGTTGCTCAGCTGGCGGCATTGCTCTCTAATGAAGGTGAGGGAGTCCCTTTTATAGAATAAGGGCTCACTCCTCAATACATAAGTGATGGGCTAGGAGTGATGCTCGCGGCGATGCGGTTGCTCAGCTGACGGTGTTGCTCTCTAATGAAGGTGAGGGAGTTCCTTTTATAAAATAAGGGCTCACTCCTTAGTACATGAATAATGGGTGCTCTCTAATGAAAGTGAGGGAGTCCCTTTTATAGAATAAGGGCTCACTCCTCAGTACATGAATAATTGGCTAAGTCTCCAAAGTATTTTTCATGAGGCCCAATATATGGTACATAATGTAGTCCCCCAAGTCTTCGGTCAATAGAGTCTGTTGGCTGGAAACTTCAAATTGAATCCATGTATGGGCCGAAATGGCGGTTGTTCGGAGGCGATATTTGTATACCTTGCCCTGAAGCTTTGTAGGTGAAGCTTTGCAAGTGAAACTTTGAAGCTAGATTTCTGTAAATGAAGCTTTCGAAGTTGGACCTTTTGTAAATGAAGCTTTTGAAGCTAGAGTTCTGTAAATGAAGCTTTTGAAGCTAATTGACATGAGTGATGCTCATGAATGTTTATGTTGATTGACATGAGTGATGCTCATGGATGTTGTCATGAGTGATGCTCATGGATGTTGTCATGAGTGATGCTCATGAATATTAACATGAGTGATGCTCATGAATGATGGTCATGAATGTTTATGTATAATTGTCATGAGTGATGTTCATGAATGTTTATGTATGAATGACATGAGTAATGCTCATGTATAATTTGGAGTACTGGGTGTACTTTTGATCACCTGGTTGGTGGCATGAAGGAGAGTACGGGTTGTACATTTCATCACCTGGTTGGTGGTAATAGCGGCGGGTTGCCGAATAATTTTGGAGTATTAGGCGTACTTTTGATCACCTGGTTGGTGGCATGAATGGCTTATGGGCCTTCGCCCTCTCCCTAACATTCTAGCCCATTTATTTTGGGTTTTACCCTTTTTTTATTATTTTTTATACCCTCTGATGGGGTTTATACAGATGTCTCTGAAAGATAAGAAAAATAATTTACACCATTCAGAAACAAGAAAAGTAAATTACATCATTCTGGTGGAGTGTTTATTTCTTACTTTTGCTTTCTCTTTTATTTTCTGCTTTTGTGTTCTGCTTTTATTTTTCCTTTTGCTTTTCTTTCTACTTTCTGCTTTGGATATGTCGCTTGATGACATGATTAAGGGCAACAGGGGTAATCATGACAGAAATGGAAGACATCGTGGCAGGGGT